AGAGTTTTCCAATTGTCACTTCCCATTGGCCCGACAAACACTGGCAGTGATACCACTGACCTTCTGTCAGAACAGTACTCTCAGACATTTCAACCGACTCATGCTAGCGATATATTGATAAGAACTTCACCTGAAACTCAGCAGGACTCTCAGAAGTGAACTTGAGCGCTGACTTGGTGTACCGGAAACAGCAGACTTCTCCTGGTTCAGATGTGGTTCATTCTGCTACACTGAAGAAAGCAGTTTCAGTGTTTGCGACACCGCTTTGCGTGATATCATCTAGCTGCCAACCTGTAGCACTTCTCTCAATAATCTCAAAAATTACGGATTCTCTGGTTTTGGATGGTCTACAGAACTACTTACTATCCATAAACTTCTGTTCACACCCACAGCACGGTTTTGATAGCATCAACCATACATGTCTTATCAGTAAGCTCAAACGACTATTTATAATATCACCTCTAATTAATTAGCACACTCTATATTTAAAAAACCAACATTTTAAGGCGAGGGTTAACTTCACTTTCTCTCACTCTATGAAATAGCCTTGTGGGTTCCCCCAGTGTTCAGTGCTAGAACCTCTTCTCTTGATCTATGTAAACGGTCTATCACAACAGGTAGGGTCAGACTTATTACTTTTCACTGACGATGTGAAACTGAAGGGAAGTACGAAACCAAGACGGTAAACCAGCACTCCATGAGGATCTGACTTGAATTCAAAGTTGGACAGATGACAACGGACTTCAAAGTGTAAAGTAGTATATCTGAGACATGATGCGGACTACGAATGCAGTTTAGGCAGCTCCCCTCAAAAGGTACCCCAAGCTAAAAAGGATCTAGGGGTGTAAGATCCAAACTACGTTTGGACTGCTGGACAGCTGTCTGGATGAGTTAGATACGCGCCCTCGCCCGATTGAAACCAAAACAAAGCAATTGGGTAAGATAGCGGTTCTATAATTTATCATCAAATTAAGTGTACATTATTACCTAAACAAATATAACCACTCAGCTATCCAACCAATAATTGTTCAATTGATCAAATCTAAACTACAATAAATAAGAAAGTTGATAAAGGATGCAAGAAAATTACCAATCACCACAAATAAATGTTATTCTATCCTGTCTGGATAGATCACGTACAGATCCGTTCAAAAGGTAATAATTGGTCGCTCTATAACACAGAGCGTTTTCAATTCTGGAAGAGTGCTTCAATTCACAACCAAAATGCACAATTCCAGTCAACACAGGTCGAGCAATCAAAACCAGGAACAAACCAAAATGGCTGCCGCCCAGACTTAGTATAAAGTAAAACAACATAAGTGCAGTTCGGGTAGAAACATAGGGAATTAGTGAACGTGTAGTAAAAACAAAAACCATAGTAAAATACAAATATTACAATTCAAATGTAATCAAAAACTAACAATGTACAACTAAAGGGATCAATAGGAACTAAGCGCAAGTATGTACATGGAGGGATTTTCACAAACACACAAAACATTCAAAATGGATCTTACAAGGGGTGCTGGTACCCTATCATTTGATGTCTACGCTAACTGCGACAAAATTGCCTCCCGAGCAAACCTTGCACCGGTAACATCGAAGCGCATTTTCGGTTAGTTCGACGGAAGAACTTTTCACATAATCTTCAACAGTTTTATTCGTCCCCAGTTAGAGTACAGCAACATAGTACCTCCTCCCTCACTCCAAAAGGATAAGAACACTCCGGAACGTATTCAACAGCGAGGCATGAAATCGATTTGGACATTCAAATTATAGTCTTATGAAGAGCGCCTCCAACCGCAGAATTCTTACCCATTAGAGTGCAGGCGTCTCAGACGTGACGTTTTGGTGACCTTAAGCATCATAAGTGCTTCTAAACATCCGCTTACGCACCTACTTAAGCCTAGTCCCAATACGAATCTTCGGGGCAACACCCAGAAACTGGTGACACAACACAGCAGAACAGACTGTAGATAATTACTCCTTAGGAGTAGTTTAATCTTGGAACTCCCGCCGGCTGGGTTGGTACGAGCGACTCTCCAGGAGTCATTTGCGAGAAAATTTGACATACTCTGAAGGACTAAGGACAGTATCTCTCTCAGGAGTTAGTATTTGTGAGTTTTATGGAATAGGACAAAACTTGGATCCTGAAAGTCCTCAGAAAAACCGCTTCTTGAAGGTTACATTTGCCACAGTTGAAGAAAGGAACGTGATTCTAGATAACTCACGTAAACTGATTGGATCCGGAATATATGTCCGTGAGGATCTCAGCCTAGCTGATCGTATTAAGGGACGAGCTGCGGAAGTAGAAATAAATGAGCGTCGCCGAAACAGTGAAAGAAACCTCGTTATTAAGGGTTTTCAAATTGTAAATCTTCGGAGAAAAACGATCCCCAAACCACTCTGGGTAGTAAGGGGAAGTCCTCCACAGACTTAAAGGTATGCTACATAAATGCTCGCAGCCTACTAGATAAAATGGCGGAGCTCAAGTTAATGGTACGACTTAAGAAACTCTTCTCTTATAGATCTAGTCTTCACACACGGCGATGATGTTGGTAAAGTGACTTTTCTCCCACCACTAGAGAAGAGTGACCATCCAGTCATCTCATTCAAATTCATGTCTGAGATTGCCTGCCAAACAATTGAGCCGGCCCATCCTGATATATGGAAGGCAGATATGGAGGCAATCAACTCAGCATCGGCTGAAAACTGGGAAATTGACTTAAGGGCATCAGTACAAGAGGCATGGACTCTTTTCAGTCAGTTATACAATCGGGTCACTCAACCATACATACCCTGGACAGTCCCAAAGAAGAAGAAGCACGGCCATCCCTGGACAGGCCGTGATATTCGGCGTTTACTAAGACAAATGAAAAAATGTTGAAATGTTGCCATCCGCCTTGGCATAGCAGGTACGATGGAACGCTACAGATCGGTAAGAAACAAGTGTATAACAAAAGTTCGGGAAGCTCAAAGAAAATATGAAATGCAGTCGGCACAATCTGCACACAAGCAGCCCAAGAGAATATTCTCGTACATAAACAACAGAACATGGATGGATCATTGGATTCCCAACCTAATTAAAGAAGGGAGAGAATCTGAAATGATAGAGTAAGATCAGGGAAAAGCAGAGGCTATGGCTGACTATTTTGGGGCAGTTTTCACTCAGGAACCTCCTATAGACAAAGAACCAGACCAAAATAGAGAGTCAACAAATCACCTGCTCACCGTGGACTTCGATCAAGACGATGTGCTTAAGGCTCTTAGCACCTCAAACATGGAAAGGTCAACAGGACCAGATGAACTACACCCCAAAATCTTGAGATATATTGCACAATATATCGCGGCCCCACTGACTGTGATATTCAATATGTCACTTGACCAAGGTGTGTTACTTATGGGCTGGAAGGACGCGATCGTCACTCCCATACATAAAACAGGATCAAGACAAGTTCCATCAGACTACATACCTGTAAGCCTCACCAGTGTTGTAGTTAAAATATTGGAAAGAATAGTCAAACGGACGATAATGGCATTTGCGGAAACCAATAACTTGCTAAACATAGAACAACATGGTTTTAGAAATGGTCTATCTTGTACAGCAACCCTCTTTATAGCAAAGGAGTTTTGGATAAAGGAGCTAGACAGCGGAAACTCAGTGGATGTTGTCTACATAGACTTCAGTAAGGCTTTTGAGAACGTGCCAACTAATAGACTACTATTGAAGTTGGAAAGCCTTGGTATTGCCGAACCTCTTTTAAAATGGATTGAGGATTTCCTAGTAGGTTGTAGACACAGAGTAAGAATAAATTCCAAGTGCCCCATCTGGAGACCAGTACTTAGTGGGGTACCTCAAGGCTCCGTCCTAGGTCCTTTACTTTTAATAATGTTAATGATCTTCCAAGTATGGTACAGTCTCCAATGTTATTATACGCTGACGATGTAAAGATCTGGCGAGTAATAACTGGAGACAGAGAGGCATGTGCTCTTCAGGCAGACTTAACTAATATGACTAACTGGTCTAAAGAGTGGCTGGTGCCTATAAACGCAGCAAAGTGTGTCTACATGCACTTTGGGGACTCAAAGGTTAATAGGTAGAACATAGGGAAAGTTCCATTACCCGTGGTCCGGTCTCATAAGGATCTAGGGATATCAGTGAGTCATGATCTTCAGACGACGGCCCATTGCCGGGAGGTCGCAGCCAAGGGATTTCGAACCCTCTGGGCTTTAAAACGGACATTCTCTAAGTTAGATACTTCCATGTTCACCACAGGTTACGCATCCTTAGTGAGAACTAAGCTTGAGGAATGCGCTCAGGCTGCAAGCCCCTGTTTAAAAGGCGACTCGGATATCCTAGAAGAAGTACAGAGGGCAGCTACCCGTGCATTTCCAGAACTCCGGGGTTTACCATACAAATAGCGGCTTGAAAAGCTGGACCTCTTTACTCTGTCCTATCGCAGACTAAGGGAAGATCTAATTTTGATGTACAGAACACTGAGAAATGAGTTCAGACCTAACGTTTTCCCTCTTTTTCTTCCCCCTAGATCGGGACATCTCAGAGGACATAGCAGGCGAGTAGAAAAGACAAGAACGAACATAATACCCGTGGAATACAGGTTTTCGCACCGAGTCATCAATACTTGGAACCCACTGCTCAATGCAGTGGTGTTCGCACCTTCAATTGACTTTTTCAAGAGAAGACTGGACACTCACAGAAGCATACTAGAAGAGGAATAACATAGGCTGTAGGCCTTCTGTCCTTACTACACAAATCTGAATCTATAATTCATCAACCTGTAGAATAAGCTCATGGCGAATGCACTGCATCTAGAAGTTATCCGGGTAGAATAAAAAAATTAGACTTGTAAATTTTCAAGGACTGCTTTTGTGTTACAAGAAGCATGCTGATATAAGTGATTTATTTAACCATCATTCGAAAAGATGTTGAACCTTGAATATTAAGGTTACGATTTCGTTGAAGAATTCGATTCTTGGCCTTAATGTCCTTGACGTCGGACAATGATATTATTTGGCCATGGCAATACAAGTTCCCGCCGTTCTTCACTCTTCAACCAAATGCTGAGACCCGTCGCAAACAAATAAATGCGTGGTGTCAGTTAGTCCTTAATTATTTTCAAAGTAAAAAGCAATTCTCACTGAGTGTTGCAAGTATTCGTGATCCCTCCTGTCCTCTCTTTAATAACAAAAGTATTCAGCGCTCAGCAAGCCCAGAATTGATCGACCTCATTTTGACTGAATTGCATAAGCGTGGTAATCTTGAGTGGGTTGACAGGTAATTACTTAGTTATTTTCCTAGGCCAGTTGATCTCCGGGTCAACTTCTACTTCTATAAATGTATAAATATCTAGTAAACATCTAGTGAAATTATTTCTCTTTCTCCGTAGCAACTTAACTTTGATTAAACCAACATAGGTATTTTAATTATAGCACATACAGAAACTCGAAAACAGCGTACATGTGTTATCCCTTTTTTGCTTGCTTCCGTGTGTGTCTGGTGTTCTGAATGAGGTAACCGAAAATGCGGACGCCGTCTCTGGTATTTGTTTTCAAGTTGACTGCTGGGTGATAGGATCTGTATCCTTAGGGATTCTGTTCGTTGTCGGGTTTCAAATTCGTATGGTTTTGTCCTATTACAGTTTTAAGAAATGACAAGTAAGGTTTAAAATCGTTCTCGGAATTCTTTACACTACAATTCATTCGCCCTGTAATTTGTAGTATTGTAATGAAAAAGTAATTTTTAAAGTAACCTATGTACTCTTCACAAAATCCAAGTGGCGTTTTATATAGGGCCTTGCGACCTGTAAAGAACTTTCCTATTCAAGTCTCACTAAAATTATAAAAGCTTGTCTTAATACCTATACACTTTTAAGATTCTTAGTACCTATTTTCTATGTTTATTTGGATGGAGCAGCACTGATCGGGACTCGCCATCTATTGGATCACATAAGCAGGACGCCGATGTTGCATTGAAATATATAAATACTACCAGTAGTGTTGGTTGGCGTAGTTTTGAAGACGAAAAGATGTGATTATTGTAGCAATTGGTGGTTATGCATAAAAGAAAGGTTGGACATAAGGATATAGTACAGGAAGAAAGAATTAGTTGGTAGGAGAAAAGATATAAGTCGACTTTAATCTCATGGTTTAAGGGAAGACAGAGTGTATACACCTACGCCATCGTGATCGATTCTGGGCCAGAGTTACGCGGACCTCAAGCAAGTAGTCCACATCTACCAACATGGCTAAGGCTAGAAGTTAGTGACTTTAAGCACTGATGCCACGTTTTGGTTTGGCCGCCCCTAACTTTCTTCCAACCATCCCAAACACTAGTCAGTATTGCAAGTTTCTGATCAAAAAGTTCCTGCCTAGATCCCCATGTCTGTTAGATCTGTTCTTCATCGATTGATTACATTGCAATAATATAATATATAAAGTAAGGACTACTGTAAATTTTTATTTATCAGTGACCTTTCCCTGATTTTGGTACGATTCTATTGATGAGGCTTTATCTGATTCGCCATACTCTAACTATAGAGAGACCAAGATAAAATATTTAGACGCTGGTTTCTTGTCAAAATAAAATTTGTTATGTTTTTATATACAGAATACTTGATAATTAACCGGTTTTCACAGTAACATATCATTAGTTATCATATTAGGCTCCCGTAAACCTAATGTATAGGCAGTATTTCAACATTTAACTTGCTCTGTTGGTCAATGGTAAATGATTTCTACACTGACAAAATATACTTGACTTTTATTCCAACCTTTAGGTCTCATACCAATGCCAAGATTATATGGCGGACTCCTGAAGAATGGGCTGATATTATAGCGAAGTGGGCCCGATCCACTGGTCACGGAAATTCAGTTTGCACATTTTACGAGTTGACTGACGGTGACGATACAAAGCAAGAAGCTTTTCATGGTTTAGATGTATCTGTCTTAACAAATGCATTAACTGTCCTTCAAAAACGAGGTCAAGCTGAAATAATGGAAGATGAAGGTGTAAAGTTTTACTGTTAGTCTGCTTTATCTATAGTCTCCAAGTAAACATTACGACACAGTAATATAGTGGTTGTCTTTTTGGAAAACCCCTTTATCTTCGAAGCGGGTAATCTCAAGTTCATGGGTTTATTTTCACTTCCACCTATGACAAAACTGAAAATTGTTCTTTGATTATTCTAACTAACCATCATACGTAATGTTAATGTGGAACTTTATATGAATACGATTTTGAAGTGTGTTTTTTGTTGCACGAGGTTTCAATAATAATCCAGTACCCAGTCTAAAGTGAATTGTGAATAATTCTGTTGACTCTGTAGACTTTTACTTTAGCTTTCTTTGTAACTAGTAATACTTTTTAAGTATGGTTTTTATTGAGTTTAACCTGTATGTAAATATATGTAATAGGAATGGGAAATTCCATTTCATCAATTTAATGGAAATTTTCTTTTATAGTTAAAAGACTTTAACTGACATTGCTGTTATAATTGTTATCGTTATTTAAATTGGCTGTGTTTATGTTTCTCAGTTTTGTAGTTTCTCGTTTTTAGTTTATGTTGGGTGTTATTTATTTATTTATTTGAACACATAGATATTGGTACAAAGGGGAACCGAATACATATGCGCCACACAAGTCACTTGATTTGTGTGTGGACTGTGATACTGCCCGGATCGAAACAGGCGGTTTCTCAGGAGGCCATACCCGGAGCCGTCGACCTAAAGATCTAATCCACAAGGCAGTGGAGCCACATCAGAAGATGCAGTCCCATGGTAGCCGGTGACCAACGATTGGTTCATACGCCATTTGTTCCGTCAGGATCCTGGAGCCCATGTGCACCATTGGTTTGGAGTCAGGGTTTTCCGACTCCCTTAGGTGAACCCTCAGTACCAACCGATCCAGTTAGAGCGCCAGGCTTTCGTTTTTTATCCTCTCAATCTCTTAACGTCCCGCCTCGGTAAGGCAGTGAGTAGGGCTTCCCTGGCAGTGGCTGTATACGCATGGCCATGTGAGAGCATTTCGTGAAGGAAAGCGGACTCTCCCCACCCTCGACCGTACCATGGGTTTTGGGGGGCACTTAGTTTTGGTTCATTATTTGAAAATAAAATGAATATTCACTATTGCATAAAGATTTCAGCATATTGAATTTACACTTAGCTTCAGATGATACCCTTGATGTGGTGTTCTTCATTATCCATCGTAGTGACCCAGCTGAGTTATGTTTGTAGATGCGCGTTTTTCTGTTAGTGTCCTGAAAATCATGATGTGGTTATTTGGGAGGTAATAAAGCTAAGAGTAGCATATTTCAGTTTCGAAAGTGAAATTGTACTGTTAAATATACTCGACTGTGATGGTAGTAAAATATTAAGTAGATTGCATCTTTAGTAACGGGACCTCATCACGCATTAGGTAAGCGGTTAATTAAAATCCACCTCGAAATACCGCCCTTTGATCTCAATATAATCACAGCAAGTTTTCTAAAGCACTGGGATAAAATCATTCATTCTTAGAGATCATATGCGATCTACTGCAGGCCATTATCCCTTGAGGACTGCAGTCACGTTTTGAAATCGACGAGATTATCAATTTTGATTCAATTTTTCTTGTTTTTGTCGTGATATTATATTCTATGGTATAGACAAAGAAATTAATAGCCACCTAGACACTTCTAGTAGCATTCGGGTTTATTATATTTATCAGCAACTTCACCTCTTACCCCTACTATCAGTCTTTCCTCTCTATGTTCATTTTTTTCCATATGTACCTCCAGTCTTAACGAACCGGGCCTGAGGAATGTTGTTTGGTATGGTAACCTAATAGACAGTCTTAGACCAGATTCAGTTCAACAATATCCTGCATATTGTCCTCTTAAATGGCAATGAATAAACTAGGATAAAATGTCTTCCTCAAATGCCCCTTGTCAACTGTTTACTTTTATCAGGAATCTACTTCATGGATGGAGAGAAATATCATTCGTTTCCTCGACTATCGAAGTAAATGAGGTTATGGGATCAAATATATCATATCTTGACCAGGTATCAATAGACTGGCTCAATGAAAGGGTGATACTCCCTTTATAACACACTTAGACATTATGTTTTGATCCGAGGATATTTCTCACTTTGGATGCTTAATCAAAGCAATACCAGAACCTATTTAGCTAGATGATGAAAACGCTAAAGATATATTAACACTTTCTGATGTGATTCCAGAAATAGTTTTTACCGTTACTAGATTGTTTGTGGTGGTCAGACCGATAATTTACCAAAATTGTAAATTTCGAAGCACAAAATCTCTGGATAATTGATTAAGTGTGCGAATGTTTAAGAGTGTATTAGGTAATTGAAGTTTAATGTATGTACAAGGTACCTAGGAAAATAATGTAGCTGTAAAAATCACTTACCATTTGACTAGTTAGTAATTAAACATGAGAGTCAAACTCACAACTGATGATTATTAACTTCTGTTTTTTGTAATACTCTCAATTTAACGCAATAGCATAGTGGGGTCCGCGATGTTTCATATAGTAGCCTCTTAGTGGAGTGTATATTAGTGTTGCAATATAGATAATCACGTGACAATAGTTTAGAGTTGACTGTATGGATGATGGTGAAAGGTTCGATTGAGTAGCCCAGGAAAAATTTGACAAAATTACTAACCAAATGATAGAAAGGCTGTTAATCTGCACAACGAAACTAATTGTTCACTTTTATCCCGTTTATGTGATTAAGTTCGTAAGTTATTGGACAATGCTGAACAGGTTTAATGTAAATGACAATTCATCATCAGTCAATCACAATCTTATTTGTTGTTGTTCAACTATAAAATATTAAAAATAGGGAAATGGCTTTTAGAATAAGCTTCATAAAATGTTTACAGAAATAAACCTGACGAAGTTGTCATCGAGTTATATATATATATATATATATATATATATATATATATATATATATATATATATATATTAGAAGCTTAATTCTTTGAATAAATGCAAACAAATGTTCGTAATAGTTTGGTAGTGAGATATTGATAATACGTCATATAATGCAATTAATCAATGCTATTCAAATCCAAGTCATGGAGCTGCAGAGCAATATGTATCTTGGGAGGTCATTGTCTGAGTGATCTACAGTTAGACAGATGAGAGTGTTCCATGGATTATGCTTCTGTTGTCGAGGTAAAACAATCTTAAGCACCTTGAAATTTTCAATGATAAAAATAAATTACGCTAATGATCCTGAGAAATATATGTTCGACCACTGTCTAATTACATTTTCGCCAATCCAATTACAGGTTTTCTCATCGGGTCCAAATTTTCTAAATACCACCTGAAAATTCAACGAACTATGCCAAATATATGAACAGTACTCTGTGGTTTTCAGTAGTCATCTAGCCAAAAACCATTCTGTAATCTAAACGATAAATTATAATAGCTTGTTCATTTTGAATAGCACAAACCTCCGTGAAATAATAATGGTGTAATCTTAATGTTGATTCGTTTTACTATACCCTGAGGAATCATTCAAAGAAACTTAGTGATTCCTACCGATCAGACCCAGTCATAAGCAACATAGAATCTGAGACATATATGCATCGGTTCAAGTTGCCACACAATATTAGCACAGCGAGATGAAATGATCAAAATTAATGCTAGATTAGTAGAAGTGGTAACAGAATCGGTGCTAGTAGAAAAGTTTAGGCATAAACAGTATTATACAAGAAGAAGGAACGAATCCGTGAGATAAAAAGTATGATATAATCTTAAAACTCAAAATGTAAATGGAGATAAAAAGCTGCTGCCTCCACACCACTGCACCCGATTCTGAGTCATTTCTCTCAACATCTCTCTCCGACCACATCCAGTTAGTTTGCACCTACTAACGTGGCCCAGTCTAAGTGATCGATCGATCTAAGTTTACTAAGACCGAAAAGAGAACTAAACAAAACATAATGGATTGAGTAGCAAATCTAAGTTTCTTTTAAGAAAACACAGAGGATAATTTATTGATTACTTCCGATTTATATGAACTTATGCTTCTCATAAGCTTGATTACTGAAAGTAGTCTTTTATTCAAATTTGGACGTGCTTAACTTTCAGTTTTGTCAAACTCTGAGTTTTGTCAAATCAGAGTTGGCTAGATGGCTATGTCATATGATCGTACAGTACTGTCTACGACATATCAGTTTGTTCAAGGTATCATGAATACTGATAGTCTTGACGAAGTTATTCTCACTTGATGCTAACTCTATTTGCTGGTGTACCTCCAACAAAAACTGTCTGTTTTGTGTATAAAATGTAAATTATTAGAACACCAGCTTCCTATAGTCTAAGTTACGCATTTGGGTTTTCCAAAGAAACAGATGATTTAAATATATCAGATGAATTCATGGTATCTTTTGATGTAGCAAGTACATATTAAGAAGGGCATATACATGGTTTTCTAAACATATTCCTAGGAACCAAAGACTTAAACAGAGTAAGGTCGTTAGATGTGCAATTACCCGACAACTTTTGGATAGTGGACAAGAAGTGGATGTAATTAATTCATTCAAAACAATTAACAGACAAATAACATCAATCTTACTCCGTTTTACAGAGGCGACTGCTATCAAACGTTTCAGACCTGACCTATGTCAAAAAAAAAAACTTGTAATTAGCCTTTCCCTGCCATATTGATCGGGGGTTCATCTAATAACCCTTGGTAATATTAACTTTTCATCTTTTTTCAACCACACCTGAAACCTTTTGTCTTGGTTCTTATTTCGTCTTTTGATATTCATCCCTCACATAGTCATACTAATGTTCACATATTTATTTATTATATCATCTTGATCGATTACACAATCATTTATTAGTTTCGCTATCTTTAGATAGCCTCTTTTATCTTGATTATGATTACTGGTAATTATAACAGCTGTTTTACTCTGCATTATAACTTCCCAAAACATAAATACACATCGATCTTAACTATGTTTATTTATACACTTTGTATTCGTATTCTTCTTATTCTTGTGATTTCGG